ATTTCACTTTAATTCATATTTAATTCCGTTTTAATTCTAGTAATTTTAGTATTTCAACTTAAGCTTATATTTCACTTAGTTGCCGAAGTAACATTTATCATTTTTGTTTTTAAAGATTTTTCTTTTTTTATTATTTTATTTTATTTAAGCTTAAAAAAATGAAATAAAACAGTTTAGTTAACAATAACAATAGTGTCTCCCAGTAACACATTTTTTACCATGTAAATCTGAAACTTTCCTACAAAATCAGTGCAAACTGTCTGCAGATTTTGTCAGGGATTGTGTCAAACCCCTAAAGTTAAGAGAAAAAAAAACATATATAGGCCCGGTTTCACAAACGGGGCTTAGATTAAGTCAGGAATAGGCCTTAGTTAAATTAAGATATTTAAGCAACTTTTACAAAAACGCCATAGAAGAAAACATTACAGGTGTGCATCTAGACACAGAACAATGGAGCAAAATATTTTCAGTTGAGACAGCTCAAACATGCATTTTAGTCTGGGACTAGCTTAAGCCTTGTCTGTGAAACCAGAGCATAGTACAATAATTAAAAAGTAATGGTCTCTGAGAGTTTCCGTAACTTGTGATATACAGCGGGTAAAATCACAATTTTTCTCAGTAAATATATCTCTAACGGTGCTGTTGACATGACATTTTCACCAGATGCCGATAACAATCCAAGTAACCTATACATACAAAGAAAACAATACAAATAAGTTCAGAAATTAAGTTCTGTGTAATAAAATGGAATGACCCAGGGAAAAAGTATTGAACACGCTTACTGAAATTTATTTAATACTTAATACTAAAATTTAATGACAGCTTCAAGACGCAGATTTTTATCAAGAATGTCTCAGTACATTTTTCCATTCATCCTTCCTTCAATTTAGACACGCAAGCAAACTTTAAACAAGCTTCAACATGCTTTTTCTTCAGCAATAGAGAATGGTGAGCGTGCATACAGGCCGTGGCGGTTGAGTGCATTACTTATTGTACTTAATATTTTCTTTGAAACAATTGTACATGCTAATTCCAGGTCTTTCTGAAGCTCTCCACAAGTGATCCTTGGCTCTTGGACAACTCTTCTGATAATTATTTTCACTCCTCTGTCAGAAATCTTGCGAGGATCATCTAGTCATAGCCGGTTTATGGTGAAATTATGTTCTTTCCACTTCCGGATTATGGCCCCAACAGTGCTCACTGGAACATTCAGAAGTATAGAAGTCCTTCTGTAACCAATGCCATCAGTATGTTTTGCAACAATAAGATTGCGACGGTCTTGAAAATGATCTTTGCTTTTACCCATCATGAAATGTTTCTTGTGTGACATGTTGGTCATGAGACACCTGTTTATAGGCCATCAGTTGAGACTGAACCAGCTAATATTAATTTCCACTGACAAAGGGCAGGATTGCTTTCTAATTACTGATAGATTTTAGCTGGTGTCTTGGCTTTCCATGCCTTTTTGCACCTCCCTTTCTTCATGTGTTCAATACTTTTTCCCTGTGTCATTCCACTTTATTACACAGAACTTAATTTCTGAACTTATTTGTGTTGCTTTCTTTGTATGTATAGATTACTTGGATTGTTACCGACATCTGGTGAAAATTTAATGTCAACAGCACCTTTAGAAATATGTTTACTGAGAAAAATGGTGACGTGTTCAATACTTATTTTACCCGCTGTATGTTGCATGTGTCACTACTGATATCATATTCAGCTACTGCTCAGTCTCTGCTCTTGATTCCCTCACAAATATTAAGATATAAAAATAAGACATTAAAGGGTTTTTAGTGTTAAAAGTCTCAGTTTGTTTGAGCAGCTCATCCAGAACAAAGCAACTCTGTTTGTCCAACCAGTGGACAACAGGGAGAGTTTGGGAAACATTTATTATATAATAATTCTGTTTATGAATGCTAATGGCACATAACTTACACTCTTCAGATGTGAGGAGTCAAGAACAGATTAATCTGTAGAGTTTCAAGTCTGAGAGAAAAAATCAGGACGGATATGTTAAGAACAGGAGCACAGCAGACGTTCAGAGCTCATTCCAGTTTCATAGGGAATACTTGAAGACGTGTGTAAGGCTTAATTTGAGTATTGTGTGAGTGTTTCTTTGATGTTTTGTCTCGTCTTAATAAGATCTTCTTGTTCACACTTCACATCAAGGGAAATCACACTACAGCAGAAGCTTTCCAATGGCTTTCGCACGCTTCCACATTCTAGTTTGTATAAAAATTTGCTAATTGAACACACATTCCTGAACAACAAATTCATGCTTTCATTCAGGAAAAATGCATTAAATTGATGAAAAGTGACAAGAAAGACATTTATAATGTTACAAAAGATTTGCTCTTGGAACTTTTTTATTCATGTGTAAATACTGAAAAATGAAATATATCATGAGTTCCACAAAAATTGTTTTCAACATTGATAATAATGAAATGTGATCCTGGACCACAAAACCTGTCACATGTCGCACAGCCATATGTGTAGCAATAGCCAACAATACATTGTATGGGTCAAAATGATCGATTTTCCTTTTATGCCAAAAATCATTAGGATAAAGATCATGTTCCATGAAAATATTTTTTTTCATTTCCTACCGTAAATATATCAAAACTTAATTTTTTGCTAAGAACTTCATTTGGACAACTTTAAAGGTGATTTTCTCAATATTTAGATTTTTTTGCACCCTCAGATTCTCAAATAGTTGTATCTCGGCCAAATATTGTCCTATCCTAAACAAACCATTTATCAATGGAAAGCTTATTTATTCAGCTTATATATCAATTACAAAGAAATGTACCCTTATGACTGGTTATGTGGTCCAGGGTCACAAATGTTTCTTGAGCAGCAAATTAGCACATTAGAATGATTTCTGGATCATGTGACACTAAAGACTGGAGTAATGATGCTGAAAATTCAGCTTTGATCACAGGAATAAATTATATTTTACTGTATATTCACATAGAAAACAGCTATTTTAAATTGTAATAATATTTCACTGTTTTACTGTATTTTTGGTGATCTTTGTAAGCAGAAGAGACTTATTTCAAAAATATCTGAACGGTAGTGTATTTTTATAAAATCAATGTTTGTTTTCATTGTCTTTCATAGACTTTCTTTTTCCACTGATGTCATCTGATCATTCGATATATAGAGATACAAATTCAATTTATCCAGCAAATCTCAGCCAAAATAGGACGACCAGAACTCAAAAAAAAAGAATGAGAAAAAAAGCTGGCAGTCAGAAGAGGAAAAAAACAGATTGTTAATTGGGAGTGCGAGATAGAAATCGGTCTCCATGCGGTCGCGTCACCGGGTCTCACTGCCACCCAGACCAGCCGGCGGTCCTTCAGCGGGCGGAAGTGCCTCATTTAAACACTACACGCCATATTTAACACGGGGATTTTTTTCCTGTTACCATCATTGTGCTTATTCACTCAGGAACTGTATGTCTCTCTCTCTCTCTCATGCTGTCTGTGCGGTGCAGTAATGATGGTGCTGCGGCGGGAATATCAGGTAGTTACACAACAGCTCCTGTCTGTTCCTCTTCCTGAGGATGTCAGATCCACTGCTTTTCTGTGGATTACAGCCGCTAACAACCGCACAAGCAATCTCAGGCTCTGTCCTGCGCCTAACAAACACTAAAGAGCCACTGTCTTCCTCTCTGATGACGGACAAACCGACTGACCCTCTCAGGAGTGAGAAAAGCATGAGAAACTGCTGAGCAGAGTTAGTATTTCCAGTAAAATGCAAAGTGAAAGTACAAGCAAAGCGAATCACTGGCATAAGGTACACACTGGAAGCAGAAGTATGAATAATGCCGTCAGCTATCATTCAAACGCGCAGGAGAAATCAGATGATTGTGTGTCTAAAGCTTCATGTCTTCTCTCTAACAGGATCCTGTTTTTATTCCCAGACATCAAGGCACCAGTGACCAAAACAAAACACATGTGGCGCTTGAATAACAACCGAGCAAACAGATTGACTCAATCTCAATGAGTCAAAGGCTTTCAGTTAACAGTAAGATCAAGAATCTGTCCTTCACACTGGGCCTTTACAAAGAGCATCTTATATTTCATTTGAAAATGTTGACCTTTAAACTATAGGCCAAAATAAAAAGGTTAAATTAATGGAAATGTAGAACTAATTGCTATTTGTTTTCACAAAAATCTGTCTCACAGTTGACTACATATTTGTGACCCTGAACCACAAAACCTGTCTTAAGTCGCTGGGGTATATTTGTAACAATAGGCAAAAAAACATTGTATGGGTCAAAATTATTGATTTTTCTTTTATGCCAAAAATCATTAGGATATTAAGTAAAGATCATGTTCCATGAAGATATTTAGTACATTTCCTACTGTAAATATATTAAAACTTCATTTTTGTTTAGTAATATGCATTGCTAAGAACTTCATTTGGACAACTTTAAATGTGATTTTCTCAATATTTCGATTTTTTTTTTTTGCACCCTCAGATTCCAGATTTTCAAATAGTTGTATCTCGGCCAAATATTGTCCTAACAAACCATACATCAATGGAAAGCTTATTTATTCAGCTTTCAGATGATGTATAAATCTCAATTTCGGAAAAAAAAATTGACCCTTATGACAATACTGTAAATTTCTCCTTAATATGAATAAGACAGCCTAACATATCATCTTCATAATTAAATTCCGATATTTTTCACTGTCAGATAATCCATACACACTAAAGAAATAGTAACATCCAAATTAACTGGCTTTAAGTCAAAAATATTATTAAACATCACCTAAATACATTAATTTATACCAACAATACACATTATTATAGGCAGAAATAGCTCTTTAATGTAACAATTGCAATGCAGTTGCTCTTAAATTTCAATTTGAAAACGTTGTCGTTAATTATATTAGTGTGTCAGTAAATGAACAGATTATGTACAGCAATTAACTGAAAGGTCAGCACATTTACTGTACGTTGGCCTTCAAGCGTATTAATGGTCCTCTTACCTGAAGCTGTGGTTCTCAGACACAGAAAAACACCTATGAAACATATGATGCTCCTCATGTTCAGACGTATGGTTTTCTCTAAATGTGCCTCTTCTGATGGACTCGAGAGCTGTGGCTGATATTTCAGAGAAGTGACCAGAATATTCCACACTCAACACTTCCTGAGAGAGAAATCAACATTAGTTTAATTGCAGCAGAGACCTGTTTGTAAAACAGTGTGTGTGTGCATGTTTATGTGGCACAAACTTGTATAATAACATGGGAATGACATAGGCATAGGTATCACAACGAGAAGGTGATTTATGAGTACATTTTCAGTGTCCCCATAATTCAAAAGGCTTATAAATAATTCAGAATGAGTTTTTTTGAAAATCTAAAAATGCAGAAAGTTTCCTGTGAGGGGTAGGTTTAGGGGTAGGGTTGGTGTAGGGCAATAGAAAATACGGTTTGTACAGTAGAAAAACCATTACGCCTATGGAGAGTCCCCATAAACCATAAAAACAAACCTGTGTGTGTGTGTGTGTGTGTGTGTGTAGCATTTACTTTATACATACATTTTTAACATTAATGGAGCTGAATCGTACAAAATGAACTTAGGCCGTTTTTAGTTGTGATATTCATAATATTTACATGATCACTGTACTGAATAGTAAAATATCACACATCAGATTCACACACTCAAACATACGATCTACTCGTTTTGGATTGATTTCACTTTCGTTCACTTAAAAGTTGTTCAAAAGTATTAAGAACCGCATCTATTAAGTCACTAAGAAAGCAAAGAAAAAGAGAGAGAGAGAGAGAGAGAGAGAGAGAGAGAGAGAGAGAGAGAGAGAGAGAGTTACTGTAACTAAACACAGTCACATTTCACAAACATCAACCCGTGAGGCTGGAAAACAGGAGAAAGAGTTTTACCTCGCGCTGGAAACGCGGCTCCGAGAGTGCTCCGGCAGATCAGATCCAGCGGTCAGTCAGTTATTCAGTCCAGCTGAACCCTCAGCTCTGACATCAGCAGCAGCACTGACCCTCCCACTTCACACAACAACACTGCTCCTCTCACATACAACACAACAAACACACAGCAAATCAGCTTTGACACACGGTACATGATATTTTATAGATGATCACATGCATGATATACTGATGAAGGATGACCATAAGAACTGACTGATGCTGAAGAGGAGTATAGGACACGCATAGAAGTTCTTCTCTCGGCCTGAATACCGTCTGATCACAGTGCCCTCTACAGCTGCAATGCGATCAATGACTGAGACCTGCTAGAGTTTCAAATCTGTTGCTCATTGAAATTCTGCACTATCATCTGCAGATAACAGAAACAGACTGTGCGAAGAATTTTTTTTATTATTATTATTATTATCTATCTATCTATCTATCTATCTATCTATCTATCTATCTATCTATCTATCTATCTATCTACCTAAGAAAGAGGTGTAAGTCTAAAAGGTGGTGGAGTGGATAGATGAAGGATTGTAATGAGAAAGAAAGAAGTGTGGAACAGGTAGAAAGAGATGAGAGGAGAGGAGGATCTAAAACAATTAAGTGAAGGAGAGGGGGAAGATATTAATAGAGTGGAGGGCATTGCCCTGTTGAAAAAAGCAGCATATGCTGGTTAGGTATGTTTTGACGCTGGGATGCTGGTTTGTGCTGGTCCTTTGCTGGTTTTAGCTGGTCCTTTGCTGGTTTATGCTGGTCATGTGCTGGCAAAGGACCAGCATAAACCAGCAAAAGGACCAGCATAAACCAGCAAAAGGACCAGCATAAACCAGCAAAGGACCAGCATAAACCAGCAAAAGGACCAGCATAAACCAGCAAAAGGACCAGCATAAACCAGCATCCCAGCGTCAAAACATACCTAACCAGCATATGCTGTTTTTTTCAACAGGGTGGTCTAATGGAAAGAGTGGAAACTGTATAGAAGACAGACCCTAGTTGACCATGTAAGAAATCATGGCCTCTCCTTGAGAGAAGCTTGGAAACAGATCTAAAGAGTTATGTCAATCCACTTCTATATTTCTAAGTATTGTACCATGGTTGTTCATAGTGCACATTTATAGCCATATTGGGACAGCTTCTGTTCTTTAAATGTTTAAACATTTTTCAGAATTGAAGAACGTTCAGGTGGACAGACAAGTTTATTTTGAAAATATAACTCCCTGCTGAAGAACTAGGGGTGCTCCGATTAATCGGCTACCAATCGCTATCGGCCGATAATCGCTTTGGGAAGTTTGATCGGCTGTCTCTGTAAAGGCCGATCTCATAAACCGATCTCAAGCTCATGACGCGCCTAGCTGCCGTGAGAGGTTCGGCATGACATGCAGCAGAACAGTCTCAATCCCTGGCCTGGGTGGATAAAGTAATTATAATGCTGAAGGTGAGGTACAGTTCATATTTCTTCATTAATAACTTATAAAGTAATTTGAAAACGTTATGTGAGACAAACAGCGTGTGTGAATCACCGCGCGCGCTCTCTCTTTCTCTCTTAAAATGCGCACATGCCTTCTAATCACCATGCATCGCGTCTGCACTATGAGCCAGCTGCACACTTGACACAGGAATTGTCACTTGCACAATCGAGGCAGTGTCTCATCGTCAATAAAGTTTTAAATTTGCATTTATTTTTAATTATTGCCGGTGTTTAGCCAATCGGCACTGGCACGCTCTCCCGGAGACTGTGCGCTCATGCACACACGCAGCGCACACACATAAAGCCAGGTTCACACACACTCCGTTTGTAGTGCGTATGCGGTGCGTATTTTTTCCGCACTCATGTTAACGGATTATGCGTTCACACTGCGCACGGTTGCGGACCTGCAGTGCGCTCCAGGAGCGGCGCGTCTGCAGCAGTGCAGAGATCGTTTCCTCACTGAGTTTGCTGTGCTGCTCGCGCTGAATTAAAGTGACAGCGCATTGTTTGCGGTATGGATTGACACGAAAATGTAGCAATTACACCATGAATGCATATAATTAAAGTCTACTGTGTTTCACAGTCAACACACAAGGCTTTTTGGTTAGGTTTAAAGGGAAAGAGCACTTTTAGATAAATAAGGCAATATGGCGCTCCTGGAGGTATTAAAACAAAGTTCTTTATGAACAGCAGGGTTGCTTGTAATAAAGATTTAAATGCAAAAGAAAAGGCAGTAGAGCTGACTGTTTCAGTCAATGGCAAGTTTTAATTTAGAAAGTTTGTGATAACGTAAGAAAAGTAGTTTAAATGTTTTGCCACTTGCTTGAGCAACTTAATATATAAGTAAATTCAAAAGTAAAAATCATTGAATAATGTGTTGCTTATATTTATTGCATTAAAACACATGTATGAAAGTTTGTATTACTGTACTGTGTAAAAAAGAATCAATTCAATTCAATTCAAGTTTATTTGTATAGCGCTTTTCACAATAAAAATCGTTTGCAAAGCAACTTTACAGAAAATTAAGTTTCTACAATATATTTAGTAGTAGCTTATCAGTGGTGACTCAGTTAATGTACATATGGCAGAATCACAATGCTGACAAAGGTTTTCAGTGACGATGTTTGGATTTGAAATCGAAATAATGGATAAATGTGTTTGTGGTAAACAGCATGGATCAGTAGCAGACTCCTGTGTGAAAGCACAATGAGTCCGTGCTGTTTCTGCACCGCTTACGTACCACACATGGACTGCATACACACTGCAAACGGAGGAGGCCTATGTGTGAACCTGGCTTAAAAGGCCGCCTCACATACAGCTCACAAAATCAGGCTTGTGCTTGTGCAATTGCACGATTGTAAAACGAAAAATGCACTGCATGATCAAACATTTAGGTGTGATAAATATATATTTAAAAAAAATGTCAAAAAATCCCCTCTCACAAGAGTCATCTAAGAGGTGAAATCCCCCCATTTTCAAAAATTAAATTCAGGCCCTAAATAAATGTCTGATTGGAGTATCACTATAAATACAATTCTACATGATAAAAAGAAAGAAGACTTTAAAAAGATCAGTAGGTGATCGTATCGGCAGATACTGCTTTCTGTGATTGGCCTTAAAAATCCTGATTGGATTGTTAGGGCCCTATTTTAACGATCTAAGCGCATGGTCTAAAGTGCATGGCGCAGGTCCACTTAGGGCGCGCCCGGCTCATGGTCTAAAAGGGTTGTCCCTATGCTCTTTATGAGTAATGGGTGTGTTTGGGCCATAACGTGCAATAAACCAATCAGAGTCTCATCTCCCATTCCCTTGTAAGAGCCAGTTGCGCTCATGCCATGGCGGATTTACTATTTACACAGTGGATTTACTATTTACACAGCAATGCGCTCTTTAAATAACAAAAGAACTACTGCACCATTGACTTTAGGCCAGGTTTTTGTTGGTCAATGGCAGTCTATTTCAGTTGCCTCAAAATAGCAACGCGCCAGCAATGCGCCTGAACACACCTGAACGCACCTCGCTTTCAGACCAGCACGCCCATGGGCGCACAAATGGGCGCAATTGCATTTGCTATTTAAACAACGTGGTGAAGGACGTGAAAATGACAACTGCATCAGGCTGAAACTAGCAAAAAACACTTGCGTCGCGCCTGGTGCCGCATTGCGCCAGGTGTATGATAGGGCCCTTAGTGTATTTGTGTATCTATATGTGAATATGTTGTAAATTCAATAGAGAACTATTTGGCTAAGGTGTTCATTGTTTTAAAAAGCAATTACATTACTTTGGAGAAATGAATCTAATCGATTGAGAAAAACTGTTCATTCTATTTTGCATCAGTGATGAATGGCTTGTAGGAAAACAATTCATTAGGAACAAGTTCTTATGTGTGTTGTATTGTGGCACATTTGTCTTAAATATTTGTCTTCAGTGTTTGAAATGACGGACAACCATGTGGTTGTTTTACAGACATGAAAGTGAGTTTGTGTGGCCTTTTGTCTTCAAAGCGGCTTCTGGTGTACATGGACAAACAACATGAAGCTTATTCTGCACGTATACCGTCCACACAGTCAATCATAGGAAGTGCAGTCTGTCCGTCTGAATGTGGCTTCCAGCATGGTGCCGCTTGTTTCCATGTCATCAGCAAACAACACGTTCAACAAAGGGAAAGTGTCTGTGCGCAGGCCTTACATTTCCTTATGGCCCTCGGAGGATCTGGTCAAGGACACAAGCGACAGGCAAGAGCTCCTTCCCGCTCACTCCGTTCAGACTGAGCCCTTTGCTGACGTTGATTTATGATTTACTTACTCTAAGACTGAAGACTTTTGCATGCAAATGCAGTTTTCTTGACCTGTGAGGTTATTGCATGCCGTGACAGCGGACTGAAACTGTTGCATACAATTTGTGTTGGATATTTTGTGTTTTTCAGTAAGGTTGCATGAATAAAGCTCCCATGTTGTTGTGGATAAAGGCCACCATCATGGTTCCAAAACACGGTTTATGAGTTTGCACCATATGAATAATTGCCCGTTACATTTTTAAAAAATGTTTAATAATTATATATCTTGCTTTTGGAAAAACATTTGCAAATGGTGACAAATGTGTCCACTTGAACTCTTTCCCCGCCATTGACAGGATTTTCCGTCTTTCTGTGTTTTCACTGTTATATGGTAGGGGGCGCTATTACACATTTTTGTATATTGTACTGAATGTCTGGATCAAAACACGGCAAAGAAGAAGCAGAAAGTGATCGCACAAGTAAAAAGATGCAAATGTAAAATAACCATTAAGAGGTTTAACTGTTGATGGAAGCAATTGACTTCATCTGTGTTTTGATCATCGATCAGAATCCCATAGTCTTTGACAAAAATGCGATTGTGTTCAAAACGTTGCTTTTTTATAAAACTTGCCCACATTTAAGAGGTGATTAAAACAAGCATGAAGCTCGAATAAAACGGTTTGTTTTGTTTAAAAGCAGATGCTCTGTTCATTCTTTTGACATATTGCATGTTCAGATTTTTATAATATCATAATATATAATCATTTTTAATTATTATTAATATTATTATAATAATTATAATAATTTCAAAATATTCTGGGGGCCATACAAA